GTGAAAAGAGGCCAGCAGCATCCTCCTCACTGCCTCCCTTGAGGTACTTCTAGACACTGCTCAGGTCCCCTCTCAGCCTTCTCTTCTCCAGGCTGAACAGGCCCAGCTCCTTCAGCCTCTCCTCACAGGGCAGATGTTCCAGGCCCCTCAACATCCTCATAGCCCTGCGCTGGCCTCTCTCCAGCAGCTCCACATCCCTCTTGTGCTGTAGGGCCCAGAACTGGGCACAATACTGCAGATTTGGCCTCACCAGGGCTGAGTAGAGGAATGTAAATGCAGCGTATGCATCTCAGCAGCTCAGTCCAGGCAGTAACTGAAGCCATTTCCACTCTTGACGTGCTGAGGATGGAGTGAGTGTTAGTAACAGCTGTTTAAGGGCAAAACGAAACCTAACTTGAGCTGTAAGTGCACTTAAACCACTAACGAAAACATCTGGTAACACTGCACTTCTGTGCCTGTATTTCTCTTTTTGTTAAGAGATTAACAGAACAGCCTGGACAAGTTCCCAACCCAAGTGAGGCTGCTAAAGTTGGAGGGCCCGAAAAGCCAGCAGGAAGCACCTTGAAAAGCCAGACCTCCGAGAGTGGGAGCAGCGACTCTTCTGAGAGTGAAGAGGAGACCCCCGTGGCACAGAAACAGCCTCCACCAGCTGGTAAGGCTCCTTCTGGTAGTGGTAAGGACCTCTTGGATTTCCTTCTCTGCCCTGGCTGATGTGATGGTTCCTGCCCTGGAGAGGCAAGGAGGGCAACTCTTGCTTTGGTGCCAATCTCCCATGCTTTCTCTGCAGCGAAAACCAACGCTGTGCCCAAGCCAGCAGGTGGGAAGAAGGCCCAAGCTGCAGCCCCGGTGCCAGCGCCAGCCCCTCCGCCTGCGGAGAGCAGCGACGATTCCAGTGAGGAGTCGGATTCCGAGGAGGAAATAATCCCCCCTTCACAGGTAAGGAGGTGCCGACCTGCTCCACATGGGCACTCTTTGCCCCACACACTCAAGAGATAACTCTGGACTTGCAAGGTGATGGTTGGGTGGATGATGAATGATACAGAGAGGACCCCTCCTTTTGGCTGGATCAAGGCTTCTTGGCAGCATTTCTGGGTCTCAGTGACCTGAGTTCTGGGTACCTATCTCTGCCTCAGCCAGCTTGCAGTATGTGAGCAGGGGAGGATGCAGCTGTTTTGGCAGCAACATGACTAGACCCACGAGCCCAGATCTCCTGGACTCTATCCCCTTTCCCTAGACGTAGAAGTTAAACTGGCTGGAAAAACTTCCTGATTCTTATGGGCAGTCCTTCCTTGAGCCAGGTGGCTGCAAGGTGACCTGCACCCTGCCTCCTCCCAAGCCCACCTTGGTGTGGGCTACAGCCAGAGACTTCTGGGTTCTTGCTCTACCACCTGGAGCAGCACGGGCTGTGCTGCCTTTTGGTCAGAAAAGGAGTTAGATTCCCAGAGAATGGAGGCAGCCTCGTGTCACTGACCTCCCTCTCAGCCCTGCAGCTGAGTCTTGCTCATGGGTGATCTCTGCTCACACACAGTGGGGGTGATCTGACTGTGGAGGACTCAATCCCTGTTTTCTCACTTGATTCTCTTTGCACTTCTGTGTTGAGACCAGGAAAGAACCCCCGTGAGGAAGCTGTGACTGGGGAGCGTTACTGTCATTCCGACTTGCTGGTGGTTTCCCCCCTGCAAAAGGGGCAGGTGCTCTGGGCTCAGGGCTTAGCAGCCCAAGGCCCTTCTCTGCCCATGCACACATGTCCCCTTTGTGGTCAACGCCGTTGTGGGGAGAGGAGGATCCCGTGCGTTCGAGGAAGCCCTGATGAAAGGGCTGCCTTCTCCCCAGCTGGTGGGCAGCCAGCCAGCCTGAGCACTCTCCTACTTGCAGCTTGTTTGCAATACCCCCATGGCACAAAATAAGGCGCTTGCTGCAACTCGAGCTGCGAGCAGGACGTCTGGAAGCGCACGCTGGAAGGGCAGCTCTCCGTGCTGGGGAGCATTGCCTTCCTCGCTGGAGGCCAGGTGTGTGTGAGAAGTGTCAGACCACAAAGGCCCGGCTTAACAGAGACCTGGGGAGGGACAGCTGCTTACACAGCTGTGTTTGTAACACAAACCAGGAGACTGAGCGCTCCTGCTTTCTCCTCTGCTGGCATTTGTGCCTTGGATGTGATGTCAGTGCCTGATTTCCCTCATCCATGCTCCTGGCTCTTCCATTTTTAACTCCTCTTTATTTAGGTAATACAGGGGACAATTCAGACGTCAGGAAACACAATTGTTCTTGTTAACTTGCTGTCTAATCCTTGACTTGCTGGTGAACCTGAGGACAAATTTGTCCTACCATTGATGTCCCTGAGCCAATTAAACCTCATGTGATGTCTGAGTGTAGGAGTCATCCTGGAGTTTGAATCTCCATCCAGCAAAATAGCATTCACATCCTGCTGTCCTCCTGGTGCTGCAGCAGTGTCGGTGGCTACATGTGTCACATTTCAGCTGCTTGCCCTCAGCCAGATGCCATTTGGGCAAATGCAGCAGGCACACCCAGATGTGCTGCCCCTCACATGGATGCTCCTGAATCTGCTGCAGGCCCTACTTGGAGGCTCACAGTGGAGAAAAATGGTGAAGAAAGAAAATATATCAGCCTTGGGGCTATCCTGTCAAGGATGCAGGGGTTGGGAGGTGGTGGCCTGACTTGTGCTTCTGCTTCCTTTCCCTCTCAAGCTGTGCTCTGGCCTGACTTTTTGATGTGTGCCTTAGAGTCTGTCGCAGCAGAACATCAAACCGAGCAAGGCTGCGAGCCCGGCGGCTGCCAAGGCCAACGCCACGGTGCCATCGGGGAAGGGGACCAAAGCTCCCGCCGCCCCGGCAGCCTGCAGGGTATCCGAGAGCTCGAGCGGCGACTCCTCGGAGGGCGACGTGCCCGTGGGAGCGGTAACGGCTGCAGGGGGCCCCACTGGGCAGGGCGGGCACATGGGGGTGCAGGGGGTGCCAGGGAAGAAGCCCCCTCTGGGGCAGCACGTGTGGGAGAGGGGGCAGTTGTTTTAAACCATGTTCCCTTATGATAAGGGGAAGCAGATGAGGGAAAGGTAGGCCTGGCACCTTTGCTGCCTCCCAGCTGGCTTTATTTTCCTCCTCCTTTTGCAGTAGCAGTAGGCTTTACGGTCAGGAGTTTCCTACCAGGCCACAGCTCCCTGCCTTGTTGATTGGGGAAGTTGGAGGTCTCATCTTCCTGCTTGGGAGATGCTGGGCTCAAGTTGGCCAGGAACTGGAGCAGTGTGGCTGAAGGAGTGTCCAGGTGGTCCAAGCCTACCTATTCAGAGCTGATTTCTGTAGTTCAGGGGAATCAGCAGTTACTCCTCCTTTCAGATATATTTCTTCTTCCTTTCCCTAGGTCCTTCCACCTTCAAGCCCAAAGCAGGCAGTTCCCACAGGGAGAGCAGCTCCAGCCAACGCTGCGGCTCCACAGCCTGCTTCAGTGCCCAGAAATCCCACTGCTGTGCAGAAGAAGCCAGGGGGGCAGCCTGCCCAGGACGCCAGGCTGAGCCAGGCCACGCTGCCCACCCAAGCAGAGGAGACCTCAGACAGCAGCAGTTCCTCCGACAGTGACGAGGAGGAGACGCCCAAGGAGGTCCCCAAACCTGGTCAGTTCCCCTGAGGAGATGCCCTCTGTGTCGTGCCCAGAGGGGTGCTCGTGCACAGCCTTAGCCTGGAGGGCAGCACCCTTTTTTTTTTGCCCCTTGGGAGATGTCACTTTCAGATAGTGGTTGGAAAGGGAGTTCTGCTCCCTAGCTCTGCTGAGCACTCGCCTTTCTTTGGAGGCAGAAGTCCCCTTGGCAGCAGTGCCTGTGTGCTGGGTGGGTGGATTCAGCCCCAAGAGGCAGCACTGGGTCTGATGGGATGAACTCTGCCCTTCAGCAGGTGTGCTGCAGAAACCAGGAGGCACTGAGCCAGCCCACAGCTCCTCCTCGGAGTCCAGCGAGGAAGAAGATGGGACAGCATCACAGGTACTTATGTGGCACCGGGCTGGCATCCTCTCAGGTCTTGCATCTGGCCTCAAAGCAGGACAGAGGGCAGCATTCCCAGCCAGAGCAGGCAGGATGCTCAGTGAGGTTGCCAGCACGGAAGTGGCAGCTCTGCAGTGCAGAGTAGGGGAGAGAGAAGCTTTTGAATCTGAGCTCTTGGGAGGGCTTCCCCAAAAGCCAAGCTTTGGGTGCAGGGTTTGTACCTTCTGCTGTTACGTGAGATGGGAAGAGGCACAACTTTGCAAGAGTTAAACAGGAGAACTGGTTTGCATTGCCAGTAGCAGAAGGGTTCCCCCCACCTTCCCCTGCTTTGTTTTTGTAACTTAACCCATACCCAAGCCATTAAACTCCCTTTGTAAGCAATGTGCAGGGTGTGCAGCACACGGGTAGGGCATTAGCTGTGGCCAGGAGCCTCCCCCAAGTCTGCTCAGCTGGGTGAGAACAAAGCAGCGACCCTGTCCCGTCATCTCCTGCAGCCTTGGGCTCAGCCAGCCCCTGTGAGGCCTGTCCCCTCCTCCTGGACGCCGTGCCCTGTCCTGCCCTCTCCACAGGGATGGGGACTGACTGAGCAGCGCATGGGTCAGTCCATAGGTAACCAAAAGCAGGCCCTTCTTTTGGAATATGGGGCAAAACTGTGTGCTTGGTATATCACAGACTGTCTTGCAGCGACTCTTAGTCTCTGCTTTCTTCAGTCCCTCCTCACAGGCTATATGGGCCTCTCCAAGGCCCCAACAGCACCTCAGACACCAAAGACGGTTCCTTCCTTGCCTGTGGGCAAAACAGGACAAGGAAAAGCCGCAGTGCCTGCTGCGAACCCCCCGGCCAAGGCCTCCGTAACAGCAGCCCCAGACGACAGCTCCAGCAGTGACAGCAGTGACTCCGACACGGACGCTGAGCAGGTGCCTGCAGCCCAAAAAGCAGGTGGGTCCTTCAGCAAGGCCAAAAATCTTGCCTGGCCCAGGAGCAAAGCCCTGCTGGCTGCGGAGCTGGAACGGGGCCTCTTCCCTGTGCGTTTGTGCTACAGAAGCTGGCTGTGGAGCACTGCTGCCGTCTGTTGGCTTCCCCTAGCCATGACACGGCCTCTGTGCACGTCCTCTCTCACTTGGCTGTGCTCTGGCCTCCTCCAGATTACGGCAGTAATTACTGTAGCCTGTGGGAGCAGGCAGGTTGCCCCTGCTGCCTGTGCTCGTGGTGTCCCTGTGCTGCAGTAGCAAGAGCTCCTAGTGGACCTGAAAACACTGGCTTTGGAGCTTCCTCTACTAGACAGTGCTGGTGTCGAGTCTCCCTGTTGTCTCTCTGTGCTCTGTTCACTTTGCATGTCTGGAAGGCAAAGAAAGGGAAGTGAATGGGAAGGCTTGTTCCAAAATGAGATGTCCTACCATTTCTTTGCCTCCTCGGTCGCTTTTTGAATTGTAAAGTTCAGAGCTGGAAGATATTTCTGCTCTGCTGCAACCTTGGTACCCCTAAATTGGCTCTGGCTGAGCTCTGACCAGCTCTTGAGGTTCAAATGTGTTGGTAAATCATTAAGTTGTGCAACAAGCTGCCGAGTAGGTGTGAAGTGTGAGGGAAGGCCCAGGTGCTGGCAGACAAGTCACTGGTGCCTCCTGGATATGGTCTGTGGGTGCCACCTCTGCCTTGGGAGGTCCCTGACTTCCTGGGGAAGGGCTGTTCTCTGCTCACCCTTGTTATGCTTCATTTTGCACTAGCCTAGTCCCAGTTTCCCTTGGTCATGGACAAAGCTGTTCTGCCTGTTGTCACCCATTTCCTTTCCCAGATACGTAGTGACAGGGCCAAGGCATCTTTCCCTGCTGTACCTAGGAGATTTACTTGGGGGGAGAACTGCATGCCCCTCTTTTAAACACTGTGTAGCCTGTAGTGTGTTTGGTTTGATTGTTTTTACTTTTTCTTTGTGTTTATTTTTAAAAACTCCCTGAATTTGACATCTCTCTTGTCACTGTTTCTGCAGAAGACAAACCCCCTCCAGGGCAGGAAGCCACAGGACCCACTGGCAAAGAGAAGGCAGCTGGAAAGACGGCACCGAGTCATGCCAGCCTCAAAGCTTCCCCAGTCAAGAAAGCCCTTGGGGTGAAGCAGAATGACATTGGGACAAAAGGGACACAAGGAAACCCGTTGCCATACGCACTGCTCTCCATCCCCGAGTCAGAGGAGCCAAGCTCGGGCAGCGAAAGCGAGGCCACCACTGCTGCCAAAATCCCTGCAGTGCAAACGCTGGGAGGGCTGGAAGAGAAGAAGAAGAAAAAGAAGGAAAAAAAAGAAAAGAAGGAAAAGAAGAAACCCTCCTCCGCAGCAGACAAGGCTGGGAAAGCACCCAAGAGCAAAGACAAGGAGAACAAGAAGCAGAAAGGCTCTCAGAAGCGGAAACTACCGGGAGAGGATGGAGCTGTTGGGCAGCCCAAGGAGAAGAAGCGGAAAGGGCAGGATAATGAAGAAGTGCCCAAAAAGAAAAAGAAGAAAGCAGCTGGTGACCTGGAGAAGCTACCAGGGAGCAAGGACAAGAAAAAATCCAATAAAAGTAAGAATCTGAGCACTCTGCATCCCCCGAGGATGCATTTGCAATAGGTTTTTGCTGCTGCTGCATGTTCAGCCTCTGGTGCAGGGCCATGTAAACAGCACCTGCTTTCCCATTAGCTTCCTGCTTGGCCCACCCAAAGCCAGTGGCAGGGTTTCAAGCCACAACGTCAGTGTGGTTCTGCAGCCTCATCACAAGCTGTGCTGCAGGCAGCCAACTTGGCTCCTGTGTCTCTCTCTGTCCTGTGCCCAGCACAGCAGGAGTTGCATAATGCTCATACTCGTTGTCCTACTGATCCTGGCTGCTTGCAGAGCAAGCTGATGGGCCTGTGTATCTTCAGTGGTATGATGATGTGACCTGTTCCTCTAGGATTTTTCTGCTTTCCTGGCCTTTGCTGTGGCTGGAAGCAGCTCTCTGGCAGGCAGTGGTTTAGATGTGTCTCCATGAAAGCTCCTGGGTGCTGTTTGTGCTCCGTGTTTGGACTTTATACCATCTGCCCTATGCTTGGGGCAAGGTTTGGCTAGCTGCAAACCACGAAGCCTCGGGGCTGGTTTCTGCCTGCTCTGGGGCTCTGCACGATGCCCTGCCCCATCTGCAGGGCGAATGGCTCTGCTAGTGCAAATATAACACGTGCTGATGGGGAGCTGAGCTGCAGCAGAGCTGGGAAGGGCAGGCACAAAAGCTCTTCCCTCCCTGGAGCCTGACGAGCCGTGGGCATGGCAGATGAAGGCCAGCATTCATATACACAGCATTCATATACAGCATTCATATACACAGGGTTTTGTGTTAGTCAGAGCTGCCTGAACGTGCTCCCTCTACAAGAAACATCAGCCTTGAAATCCGTGCTGGCATCTGCCATGGCAGCTGCTGCTTCCCCTGGGGTGACAGCCCCTTCCCGGCCCTGCCTGGTCACGGTGCCTCCTGTTACAACACGGCGAGCTGCTCGTTTCAGAGATTGGACCTGGGGTTATTACTGCTGCTTTCAAACCCCAGGGGAAAGGGGAGGGTAGTACCAGCCTTTTGCTCACTGCTCCTCATTGAGAGTGCTTCCTGCCCTGCTGCCTCTGTAATGCTGTTTGCTGCCCTAATGCAAAGGGGATTTTTTTGCCTACGCAGTGCAGACTGCATTTGCAAATTAGAGCTGGTTCTGTGCTGGCTCTTGCAGGCTTCTCTCAAAATAAGAGAGAAGATGGAACGGGTGGGCCAGAACTGCTAGGGTTTCTGTTCTGCAGAGAAACAGCCCTTCATTTTGGAGGACACACAGACGTGTCCGTCGGTGCTTGTGTTGCAGAGGTGACTGGAGCCTCCGGCTCAATGGCATTGGAGAAGTGGCCCTGAGGACAGCTGCCTTGTGGCAGGACTCCAGTGTCACCCGGAGTTACTGCTCCAGAAGGCTTTAGAAGTGGTCGAGGACCTGCTGGGGATGCCCCTGTTCTAACTAAGCTTCCTCCAGTGTCGGGTGAAGTCAAACGCTTCTCGGGCATTGACCTTCGCAGATTCCCTGTCTTAGTTAAATTCTTTCCCTCGCCTAGAAAAAAAGAATGGAAAAGAGAAGAAGAAGAAGAGCAAAAAAGCGTCTTCAGAAGGGGAGCCAACAGCAGATGGCTCTGCTGAAGTTCACAAGAAGAAGAAGAAGGTATGTGCAGGAGCCTGGGCCAGGCTACAGCAGGGAGAGCCATTCTGAGCAGTGCTCGTGGGGCTCGTCCCAGTAGTGGGGCTGGTTGGTCCCTTGGAGATGTGGGACTGGAGAGGGGGGCAGAGCTGTGTCCTCGTCTCGTGGACTGTAGTTGACTGTGGCCTGGTCTTGGGAATGTTCTCTGGCCGTGGGTTGTTTGGGATTGGCAAGGCTAGAAGGGCTCCTTCCTGTATTTTCCCCCAGGAGAGATCCCTTTGGAGCTCTTGCAATCTTTTGCTGGAAGGGTCCCACTCAGGGTCTGCTTTGCTGGTGGAGAATCTGTGCAAGGACTGAGGGCTCTTCCCCTGCTACCTGCTGTTCCTCTAGTGATGTTTTCAGCAGAAACTGGAGCCCGTGGGGGCTTAGCAGGCTATTGCATCCCATCCCCAGGCTAGGAAAGGGGGCAAAGGGAGAAAACAGGGTGTGTTCCTCATTGTGGATTTTATCCCAGTGGAGATGGCAGCAGAGAAGCCTCTGAGGGCCCTCTGACTTTGCTGGGTTCTGTGTGCTGATGGTGCAGATGATACTGATTTATATTTTCTCCCTTTTCCTTTTAGAAGAAGAAAACAACCGAGCCTCAAGAGTTATGAAAAGGTACACGGCCTGTGGCAAGTGTCACTTGGTAGCGCTCTGAACAGCAGTAGCCTTTGCCAAATCTCCTGGGCCAGCTGCAGGAACCCAGTGTGGCTGCTAACAACCAACCCATGAAGCAGCTTGGCCTCGTGTGAGGACAGAGAGCAGAGCAGTGTGAGGAAGTCACTGAGCAGGGTGCTGGCCTCTGCTGATGAGGTTGCTCTCAGCTATCTCTTTAGCTGCCCAAACTGGATATCCAGTCTAGATGTTGATGTCCTCTGCCATCAGCAGAGATGAGTGACCTCCGACAGTGTCTGTCAGTCCCTGCTGACCATGGGGAGCTTGGAAAAGTAGTGTGAATTAGAGGGTGATTTTGTAGCCACCTGCAAGCGGACAGGATGGGTCTGCTCAGCTGTAGGCAATTCCCTTCTTCCCTCATCCCTAACTCTAACTCCTTTCCTCAAAGGTACCGTGGCCCTGTGAGTAAGGATTTATGAACGAAGATCAAGCAGAAGAGAGGAAAAGGAAGCCCAACAGGAGAATTCCAACTTTTTTTTTTTTTTTAATAGTAATTTATAACTCCTCCTTTTAACTGTGACTTTTAGAGCAGAGTGGTGTAACTTTCTGCCTCCTCCTGTCCTGCTGGGGCCTGGAGAAGCGTTTTACCTCCCCTCCCGATGGCTCGCCTGTTGCACTAGAACTGAACTAAAGGAGGCAGTTTGAGCAGAGAAGAGCCAGCTTGCATAGACTGCTTTCCTCCTAGTTGACACCCAGACATCCTTTTTTCTCTCTCTTCACAGAGCTATATTTTTAAGAGAAACTTTTACTCTTTTTTTTTTCCTCCTTCCTGTGATTTGTGGTGTCAGTTTTTTTGCTACCTATGGAAGAGAGCTCTTGGGTTTACTTTCTATTCTGACACTGGCGACGACGATTATCCCATCCCGGAGTTGTGCTGCGCAGCTGTGCCCGGCAGCTGTGCTCAGCCAAGGCTGCCTAATTTTTCGTGAGTTTTTTTTATGGAAAACGCAATAAAAGAGAAACAGTGACGTTCTGCTCGAGCTGCCCTGAAGGGAAGGGGCGAGAAGGCCCCGGCCTGGGTTCGGGCCCCTCTTGGCTGCAGTGGAGGCAGGTGGTGCTGGGGGCAGCGTGAGGGGCTCTTTGGGGCAGACAGGGCTCCTCTGTGGCTGGGAGGGGTTGCAGGACCAGCTTGACATCCCCCAAGGGAAAAGCAGCTCTTTTGTGCCCGCTTCCCAAGGTGCAGATGCTGCTGTTCCCGGGTTTCGAATACATGGTCCTGGCGCGGTGGTCGTGGTTTGTTTTGTTTATTTTTGATTACTAAAATGCTGCACTGCTGTGGGGCAGGTGTGAGCACAGCCTGATTTGGGCCAGGTTTGGACGTGTCACCCTCCCCTTGTGCCTGTTCTCTATTTCCAGCCTCGAGCAGCTGGTGCTCAGGAGCTACTGCCTGCGGTTAGTGCTGGGTTGGTGCCTGGCTCCATCCCTCCATTCCCTGCCCTAGGGATTAGGAGGTGAGGAAAATAGGAGAGGGATTCCCTCCTGCTCCTCCTTCTAACACATCCCGCCGCTGTGGAGCGGCCTTGGGTAAGGACTGCACCCTGCTTTAAGGGAATTCCTTAAAATCCTCTTGCCCGGAGCCTTCGGCAGACCTGGAGTTCCTGGGGATGGGGTTTGAGTGCAGATCTCCGGAGCAGGGAGCCCAAAGCACCAGCCCTGGTCAGAACTGCTGCCAGGATGGAGATGGGGGGCTTTGGAGCAGGGCAAAGCCCTGGGGTGTCCCCAGCCCCAGCACCCTCCGTGCTGGGGGAAGGCTGCTCTTTTCCATAAGGTGACAGTGCTTGGTGCCCTCGGTGCTGCCGGCACCATGGGACATGCTGCATGCACCATGGAGTGCCCAGAACATCCTCGAGTGACCACCTGCATCCATGCTCCTTCCCAGCCCTGGAGTGTGAGTAAAAACAGGCACCAAAGCAAGGCACAGAGGGGATCAGCATCTGCCCAGAAGCTCTCAACAGAATGTATTTTAGTATTCCCCCCCCACCTTTTTTTTTAATATGAAATAGCTGCAAAAGGATTGAATATAGTGCCCTGCCAGGGTTGCCACAAGGGTTTCTTATTCAAAAGTTTATTTGAAATCATCAGCTTGTATTAGCTTGTGAGTTCATTTATAGAGGAAATATGTTCAAACCAATGCAAACCCCCCTAACCCCAGCATTAGCTCCTGTTCTCGCTGCTACCCCCTGCTTGGGTGGTCTTGGCGCTGAAGGGAAAAGCTGCAGGTGAGCACCTATCGCTACAAAACCTAGCAATTTTCAGGAAAAAAAAAAGAAAGATGCTTCAATAGTCTAACATCTCTAATAGTCAAATGTGGCTCCAACTTACAGCGTTAAGAAGCAGGTGGACTCCATTTTGCTGCTGTCTTTTAATGATCGTTCAGTACAAGAAAGCATTAATTAGTGGCTCATTCTTCAGCAGGGTTGATCCCTACGCTTGCCCTGGGGCCTCCTGCTCTTTGCCTGGGGTCAGGGTGCTGCAAACTGCTACCCAGGACTGGTCTCAGCACCTGCATCTTCCTGGGAGACTCCCCTCGAGTGATGCTGCTGTTGCCCAAAGCTCATGCTCAGCAGCTTGTATTTGATTAGCAAAAGGGGAAAGAACTATGGGTCTGATGTGGTTGAAATATGAAATAATTTTCCAGCCTGCTCTACCAGACATGCCTGTAAGGGAACATTTTGTCTCTAGCAAAGGGAGGGCTCCTCCTGTGCTGCTAGCACAAGGCAGGAGGCAGCCTGCAGGCAGCATACGATCAACCCACTTCCATGGCCTGCATAGGGGAGGAGAATTAACGCCTGGGCAGAAGTGCTCGGGATTGCCTGCTATTAATAGCTTCTGAAAGAGCAATATAAAAGCACTTATGAAATAGAGCAAAAACAAGAGCGGGGACGCTGAAGATGGGACAAGGCACCTGGAGGCATCCTCTTCTACTTAGCTCCTGCAGGGAAACAGAAAGGGGGAAGTTGGTTAGACCCAGGATGCAGGACATGGGTCTAACAGGAGCTGCCCTGTTCCCACTGCCGGTGCAGGGAGAAGACCCGGATCCCTTCTGGCCCGGCCACCAACGCTCCTGGCTCCTGCTCCATGGCCAGATGTGGCCGGGGCTGATTGTGTTTCACAGCGCAGGGGCTGCAGCCCCGTGCACCCACTGTGCCCCAACAGACCCAGGGGTTTCCTCCCAGCCACCCTGCCCTGGATTCAGGTGACCGACTTGGAGATGCCGTCTCCACCGTGCCGAGCTGCTCACCTGCATCCAGCTTGAGAACATCCACCCCCGAGAAGATCATCTCCTCCGGCTCCACGGCCCTGGGCGCAGCTGTGGGGGACACACAACTTCAGCACTGGGACAACCCAGGCAGGTGACCTGCACTGCTGCTACCACAGTTACTGCAACGGCCCTGCTGCCCCTCAAGGGCTGCCAGGCCAGCACGACCACGCGCTGAGTGCTGGCGTGGTGGGACCAAGTGCACACCAGGGTGAACAACGACCGAAGAGGGAAGCGAGGGCTCTCCTGGATGTTCTTCCCCTAAAAGCTGAGGTCCTTCCGCTCTGTTTTGAGGGGCTTCAGCTAGATCGGATTGCTTCAGCTAAGCTCAGACCTCAAAGCAAGGCCAGGAGGGCAAGATCTGGGGCCTCCGTTCCTGCTGCCACTAGGCAAGGGCCAACGCTCGCTCCTATGGTTTTTAGGGTGCCCTTCAGAGAGTGTCCATAACACAATGTCACTGCATGGTGTGGAAGTGCTGAAGGGGCGCAAAGGTGATGGATGTTGCTGCCTCTAGGAACCTCTTCCTTCACCAGTCACCCGTGCCACCTTGGGCTCTCTGGAACAGGGTACGTTGCAGGATCTGCCTGTTCCTGCAATGCACCGAGCAGCTCGAGTGCTGCTGGGCACCCTCCCCGCTCCAATCAAGTTCTGCTCTTCACTGAGCTCAAGAGAAACCAGGAACCGTGACTGAAGGTGCTGCTTGTTCCTCTTCTCCCCCACCCGGGCGACCTACCAGGGCAATCCAGCTTTTCCCGAGTCTCAGTGCCCTCAATCTTGGTGCCGTTTTTGTAGGAGCACCAGCAGAAGCCCGTGCTGGCATTGCACTGCTTGGGAAGGTAGTCTCCGTTCTCATCGCACTGGGGGCGGAAGTGACCGGGATGGACACCACCAAAATTGGCCTCCACCTGGCACCTAGTCTGCACTAGGGCAATAAGAACAAACAGGACACAGCGTGAGCACCTCGGGCCGCTGCTGCCCAGGAGCCTTCCAGCGTCGCTCGGACCAGAGGACGGTCCAGACAACATCTGCCCATAGGATGCGTCACCCAACAGGGCTGCAGAAGGCCTGGGCCAGCCCCTTGGCACTACATCAGCAGGGGAGCAACCGGGACATGCTTGTTTTGGGAACAACAAAATCCTGCCTTCCCTGGGACGACTGCCTTCCTGGGAACATTAACCCTAATGACAGCAAACGATACCGATCTACTTAACGGCGACCACGTTGACAGGAATTTTGCTATGGGAGATTGGTCTGAGCAGGCCTAGGGGATGAGTTGGCATGACGTGATGGGCACTGAGCTTTTATCTGGAAGCAGATAAACTAAATTTAAAAGGAGGAAGTGCAAACCCCACCCTGAGGATGTTTTTTTAAAGCTTTCCCTCTAACCAAAGGGGGATTTGAAGTGGTGGTCTGTTTTTCCAGACATTTGCTCTCTTTTTCGATACTTCTGCACCTGCTCTCATCTGTTGCTGGCACATCCACAGCTGGCCCTTTCTATAAACATGGATTTTCCTTCAAGAAGTCCTGCTTGGCTTCAGCCATGGTCCTACAAGCAAACAGCTCCTCTGCAAAGGAGGAGCTGCTCCCATCCCTATGAATTGGGCTTTACTGGTGCAGATCAGAGGGAGCCAAGGTGCAGACGAGCGGCCCTGCAGTGAGCCTTGCTGTTCAGGCTGCCCTTTCAACACCTCTGCAAAAGCTGAAACCCCGAGAGAGGGGAGAGCCTGAACCCCTCTCTCCAGCCTGGAGATGCTGCCCTGGACTCGCGTCTTCGCCCACCAACAGCCCAAGAGCCTCCGGCAGCTCCGGATGAAGCTGCTGGCCGGACACCGAGGAAGGCAGAGCCGCAGCTTCGTGCTGTCCCCTCTTGGGATGCAGCTGTCACTGGAGGGCCTGTCCCAACCCTCCCGTAATTTAGTAGCTTCCCATCTGCGATACCTTTCTCCGCTGGGATCACCTTCTTCTCGCCGTTTTGGGGGTTTTTGGCCAGTTCAAACAGCAGCCACTTGTGCATCCAGGATTCGAAGGACTGCAAGAAAGGGAAGCAGCACAGGGTGATGAGGAGGCTCCAGTTGGGAGTGGTGACAGCCGCGTGCTCGTCCCCTCCCTCGGGGTGGAGGAATGCGAGCCCGACACGATAAGGATTTTCCACTTCCAGGCGGACACATGCCAGTGCCTCCCGAGGGAAAAGCTTCCGGAAGGGGCAGGGCAGGAGAGCAGCCACACACTGACCTTCCAGTCCGCATCAGTCATGGACTTCTTCAGACGCTTCAGGTTGTCCATCAGGTTGTCCTTCAGCTCTGGGAACATCTTCTGTGGGTCTGCTTGCTGCAGAGGCAACCACCAGAGTGAGATAAAGACGACAAAGGAAAAAGGAGGGATGGGATGAAGCTCTCATCAACCAGAGTGATATTACAGAACAGGAGCTCCTGTCAGCTCGGAGACCCCAAGGGGGCAGGAGGGAAATCCCCGATGATGCCCATCTCGCCCAGGGACAGCTCAAAGCACAGTGTCCCTCTGCCCCCAGCAGCACGGGGGTAGCTGTGGGAGGCTGGATGCTCCAGAGGACACATGGGGACCTTACCAGCAGCAGGTGCTTGACCTGATCCTCCGTTTTGTTGCTGACGGGCCCCATGATATCTGCAGGCTAAAGAGAAAATTCAAATGGGAAGAGTCAGCCCAAGGTTGGCAGCGGCCAAGAGGCAGTGGCCAGTGCAAGGCCAGGGTGGGCATCTCTTACCATCCTGTCCGAAGAGGGGGAAAGCGGCAGATCCCTCATGGCCAGGGGCATGTTCACCATGGCCATCCGCATCTTGCTCACAGGTTTAGCATCTGCCAGGGAAGTCCAGGGTGAGGGGGACCAAGAAAAGGGACCACCCCCCTCTGTCCCCAGCCACCTCCCACCGCCTCCTCATGAGCTACTGACTCGAGGGCATCTTCTTCTGCAGCGCCTGCAGCTGCAGAGTCTGTGAGGTCTTGGTCAGCTTGTCGATCTGCCCGCTCTGCTGGTACACGAAGTAGACGGTCACGGCCTGGCCCACGATGAGCAGGGCCACCAGGATGGAGAGCGCCGAGAAGGCGGCTTTGCGCCCAAACGACCTGCAAGACACGAGGGAGGGAGCTCAGGCCTCGCTCCACTCTCCTCCTGGCAGCTGGAAACGGTTCCAAAACCCGGCTGTTGGGCCCTGAGGCAGGATGCAGGAGATGCGGTCGTGATGCTTCACCCAACCTTCACGTCCATCACCCAAGCGAGGATTTCCAGTCAGCACCGAGGAGGCTGCGGCAGAGGCTGGAGGCAGCACACTTGCCCTCGTGCATCTCTGCTGCACAAATTTCTCACAAATTCTCCTAAATAACCTCAGCCAACTCTTCAGCCAGAAAACAAAGTGACTTAAGACACTTAAATAGGTACTTTTTAAATGCCAGCAGGCGGGGGGGCAGGGAGCAGAAGTGAAAGCTCCGCGCAGGTCACTTCTGCGCTTAAGGGGGAACCGAAAGCGCCAGGCGTAGGCGGGAGCAGGGGGCAGTCCGGGCACCCGCGTGCTGTGAGGGGGGCTCGGAACACGTCACACGCTGCGGGGACCCTCAACGTGGGCTGCAGGAGAGGCCACGGGTCCCCCCGGGCAGAGGGGAGGCCAGACAGGACGTGTTTTCAAAGAGGGAAGGCACCGCGCTGCGCCAAAGCCAAGCGTGTGCGGAAGGTCCCGCGGCCGCACGAGGGTCGAGCGGGGACCCGGCCAGCAATGCCAGGACGTGCCGAGGTGACCTCGGCCGTGCACCATGCACAGGAGCGGGGACGGCCATGCTGGCACTGGCAGCTCTTTGCCCTGAGCCCGCTGGCTGCAGCGACACTGCAGGATGCAAAGAGGTGCCGGGGAAATGCAAACAGAGGAAGGAAGCGCCGGCTCTCGGGAGCCACATTCCCCCTGCCAAGGGTGGGAGGATGGATCGGGCCGTAGCGGGGAGCTGCGCGGCTCCCTCCGCAGGTGGCAGGGGCAGGGCTTGGCGGTGGCCCAGAAGCACCGGATGCCAGAGCAAGGGGAAAGTCCCCACAGTCCCCTCCTTCTCTCTGTGCCTGCAATCAGGCTCCTTCCTCTTGCTCTTTTCTTCTAGGCAAGCACTTCTGGGCCACCCTGGGCTCCTTCACATGTCCTGTTCTATTAATCCGGACTGATGGATGATTTCTTCCTCCCCAAAATAAAAGGGGTAAGAATAGGACGGATTTATAGTGCAGACTTTCTACTACACTTTCATTTCCTCTCCCAGGTGGAGCTGGCTCAGAATCCGCCTTTCCCCAGGGAGCAGCAGGATTCAACCTTGTCCCTGGCCTGTCTGCCCAGCTACTTCTGATGTCAGCAATTTCCAGCTCTCTGATTGGCTGAGGTGTTTTGCCTTCCTCCCCCTCCCGTCCAGGGTGGACGAAGGTAGCCAGGACATGAGCAGGGACAGAAGGTGGACAACCCTACGTCATCACAGAACCCCCTGCGCCCCACGGCCAACCTGGGCACCCTTGTGCTCTAGATCACGTCTAGCAGCCCCATAGCCACTCTGAGACGCCCCTTAGCCCAACTGGGCCACATTTGGCCCCGCAGCCAATCCGTACACGCCCATTGGCCCCAGTGGGCCCTATAGCCACGCGATGCCCCCCTTGGCCCAGCTGGGCTCCACTTGACCCCATGACTGCACCACACCGCCCCTTGGCCCAGCTTGCCTCCTTCCACCCCATGGCCATGCTCAGCTCAACTGTGCCCCAAGTCTCCTATGGTTCCCCAAGACCCCCCTGCCCATGGGACGCCATGCCACTATTGACCCAAATGTGCCCCAAGGGGCCACATGGAGGCGGCGAGTCCCCTCCTTGGTCCAAAAGTGCCCTCTCCCTCCCCATAGCCTCACCACATCGCTACAGGTCCAACCGTGCCCCATAGCCACGCCAAGTCCACCATGGTCCAACAGTGCCTCCACCCTCCCCATGGCCTCCCCATGCCGCTGTTGACCCAACTTTGCCCCAAGCAGCCCCATGGCCGCACCAGGCCCCTCCTTGGCCCAACAGAGCCCCCATTGGACCCCCCGCGCCCTCTCCCACCCCATGGCCGCGCCAAGCCCCTCCTTGGCCCAACAGAGCCCCCATTGGACCCC